GTGGGATTTAGGAGCCCTGGTGGTGCAGTGGTTAAAGTGCTCAGCTGCTAACTGAAAGGTTGGCAATTCGAACCCACCAGTCACTCCGTGGGAGAAAGATGTGGCAATCTGCTTCCATAAAGATTTACAGCCTATGGGGCTGTTCTACTCTGTCCTATGGGGTGGCTATGTGTCGGAATCGATTCAACAGCAGTGGGTTTGGTTTTTGGTTTTGGAAGTGGGATTTGGGTGACATTTTGCTTTCCCTCATTATTGGTTTTTGTTGTAATATTGTGAGGAAATGTGTATGCAAAGGACCTTAAACTCAGATGCAAAAAATAAAGTGATATGGAAATAATGAGAAGAATCCACATTTTAAAAGACCTCTTATACCATTATAATAGCGGATGAGACAAAATCAGATTACCTGCATAGTTTCTGTAACACTGGAATGTCCACAGTATTTCATAGTGCTAATGATTAAGCTGCTGTAAAGACTAACGGACTTTTCCAAGAAATTTTAGAAATTTAGAAAAAAATAGACACAACCTTAAATTGCTATCTTTTGGTAGGGTAATTCTAGATCAATCATCTACAAAATGTATGAATTGGTTTCTAGGTTGTTTGCCTGAAGAATTTTTAAATTACTTTATACTTATAAAAATAATATTTAAATCATATTTAAGTTTTCAGAAAAAAAGTAGTTTTAATGGTGGGCTTTTGTTCTCAAGTCAAAATTGCTATGCTCAGTTCTTCAGAAAATAAATGTTAAATTGATTCTAGATTGAGTGACACTTGCTTGGGAGGAGTAAAAAGGCAAATCAGAAATGAGAAAGTCACTGAGGAGTGAATAACGAAGCAGGTTGGCGAATTATAAGTATATTCAGTTATTCATCTTAGGAGACATTAGATTGCCAAGCCAATGACTGTTATTTTCATGTTCTTAGAAGGCAGAAGACTTCCTGGAGGATTGGGGAAAGAAAAAATATATATAGCAAATTCATTTTCTGAAAGAGACAAAGAGATACCCTAATAATTAAAGATTGGTTTGCTTAGCTCTTATATCCTGAGATGAAGATCATAGATTAATTCTCAAAAACATCTACTTATAGTATAGTCATCTAGAGGCACCCAGGACCCTGTAGAGGAATAGTGTGGCTGGATGAAACTCAGTATGTATCAGACAATTTTAATTTCCTTCCATGACAGGATGACAGGACATGTAGCTTGAAGGCAAGCAATAGAGGCCATTTATCTGTCTTTCACTCAGGCTTTCAATTCTGTCTTACATGTGATGGCCAGCAGCCAGCTAGGAAAATGAGTCTAGCACCGTGTTTCTCAAGCTACAAGTCCTGGAGAGAATTTTTTTAATGTTGTATTCTTGTATAGATGATTATCTTTTAAAAAAATATTCAACCAGTTAAAAAGAAAAAAAAAAAAACAACTAACTTCTGTTTTTCAGTAAAATACTGTAACCAAGAGTTTTATATAGAATGGTTTCAGTTTCTTAAGTCAGTGTTTTTCAAAGTGGTTTTGGGTCCTCAGTGTATTTTGGAGGCTGTATTACTTGGTGCCTGCAGGAACTAGATGGCACAGTTAAACTGAGTGACAGAACTTACCAAAGAGGCTGTTTACAAAGGGGTGGGCAGGACTGAGGTAAAGGAATAAGGGATGATGCAGCTGGGAATAGCTGTTACCAGCCCCGACTGAGCGGGTTGTAGGGGGAACCGATTTCCGCAGCCTAGAGTGGATAGATACGTGGCGAGGGCCACCCACAGGAACTGTGGCTGTAGTAGAAGACATCAGCACCCTGTCATAACGAAGACTTAGGAAGTTGTGTGAATCTGTGAAATTGTATGCAGATTTGGAGGCATACATGTGAATATGTGTTTTCTCGTGTGCTGTGTGAGAAAACCCGAAGTCCCAGACATCACCACACTGTATACTGACAACACAGAGAACTTCCTTCCCCACAAAGCGAGATATAATGGGAGAGACAGCCAGGCAGAGCTGTGCTGAGAAGGGACTGAATAAGAAAAGAATGAGTCTTGCAAAGAGAGGGTCATTTTAGTGAGAGTTTATAAGGGAAATGCTATGAGGAGGACTCATTCTTCGTTTACCAATAGAAATCTTACTTGTAGGGTGCAGCGGTTAAGTGTTACGCCTGCTAACCTAAAGGTCAGCAGTTCGAATCTACCAGCTGCTCCTTGGAAACCCTGTGGGGCAGTTCTACTCTGTCCTATAGGGTGGCTGTGAGTCAGAGCCGACTCGACGGCGATGGGTTTTGGTTTTAGGAGCCCTGGTAGCGCAGTGGTTAAGAGTTTGGCTGCTAGGTCGGCAGTTCCAATCCACCAGCCGCTCTTTCAAAACAAACCCTATAGGGCAGTGCCACTCTGTCCCATAGGGTCGCTGTGAGTTGCAATCGACTTGGCAGCAATGGGTTTTTTTTGGGCGGGGGTGCGGGGAGGTTTGCTGCGCATCTAGTATGTGCCATGCAGTGCTCTAGATGCTTGCGGGTACAGAAGTAAATAAACAGGTACGGTCTCTGCCTTTATGAGCCTTACAGTTTCGGCACAGTATAGTCCCTTCTGCTCTGCACACATGGGATTGCCGTCAGTTGGAATTAACTGACAGCAACCAACACTAATAGTCCCAGATAGTTTGAGACAGTAGAGGGCGCTGTGGGAGGCTGGAAGTAATCTGGTTTGAAGACCTAGAAAGGCTTTCCAGGGGAAGGGACCTTTGAGTTGAGATTTAAACCATGGGGAAGAGATAACCAGGTTACCTTTCAGGGAGAAGGGACAGCAAAAGGTCCTGAAATGGGAAGAGACATTAGCTTTAAGAGCCCTATAAGTCATGGCTGGGTAAGTCAGAAGGCCCCTCTCTGAGTGGATGTGGCCCAGAGCTGGGGTGCACAGCTAGGTGAACAGGGTGTAGGCTGGATTTCAGCCCCACTTGTCCCCTTGGCTGAGCACTCCCTTGCATGATACTCCTTTACAAATGGTGGCCCTGAGTACAACTTCAGAACCCAAGGACATTGTGCCTGGAGGGCAGACGTGTGGGGGGGAAGTGGGGTGAGATGGGCTGCACAGCCCAAGCTGGGACCAGTAATGAATGCAGGGGCTCCTGGGCTGTGCTAAGGGCTTTAGTCTTCATTCTAAGGTTAATGTAAAGTCCTGGAAGCAGGAAAATAACCCAACTGAATTTCAAGAGCGGAGGCAGGGAGATGAGGCATGAGGCTGCAGCAGTGGAGGAGGAGGAGAGATGATTGTGGCCTGGGCTAGGCTGGGTATAGAGGGGATAGAAAGAGGTGGACAGCTTTGAGAAACAGGAGAATCAATGAATAGGACTTGGTAATTGACTGGATGAGAGAGTGAAGGAGAAAGAATCATCGACAAGGTTTCCCAGGTTTCTGGCTTATGTAGCTGGTATCATTTACCGAGATAGGAAATACTAGTGGGAAACACACATTCAGAGTCTGGAGGTGAGAGGAGAGTTAAATGCAAGCGTTGTATTCTTTTCCCTCTCATAGCCTCCCCTTCTCCCAGCAAAAAGGAAAGTAAAGAAGATTTTTCAGGAGCAGACAAGATAAAAGTTCAAACTGAAGGCTTATAGAAGGCACCCTGAAGTGGTTTCCACTTGATATAAAAAAATATGAAACAAAATGAAAACCCCACCAGAAAAATGACGGGAGGGCCATTCCACCTTCCTTTTAGCTCTGATATTTGTATTTGATGTTCAATTATCAGGGCACCTTGAAAACTGCACTCTAAGCATCTCTATTGCCAAAAGAAGTTCCCAACCTGATGCACCTCTCAGGGATTGTTTATTGTTGAGGATCAAAAGGAAAACCTCCCTGGACATGAGCAGGCCATTTCAAACTCAGCCAGCCTAGGACCTGCTGAACACCAACAGGGAATCTCACTCTATGTCTCCATTTCTGTGCCATGTGGAAATGGTTCCAGGATCCAAATAATCTGCATCATGGTTGGATTAAACTTCATCTGAGCCACAACTATACAAATATATATACAGAACATTACATACTGTACAAGTTTGCAAACCATCCTTCCCCCAACCACACTTCCCAGCTCCTGTGTGTATCAGCTTTAGAAGAAACTCCAAGGCTTGATCAATTCATAGAGAGCATGTTGCAGCCTGTAAGTGACCCATGTCTTCCAGACGGTCAAATTGAGTAGGGGTACAGGCAAGGTTTGGGCAAGGACCTGCCACAAAGTCACACAAAGGACTACTTTAACAAATTGAACTAAAGTCTAAATTCAATCGTTAACGAAATGAAATAAAAAACAGCCTCTTCCAAACCACATTTTCTTAAAAGAAAAAAAAATTGCTAGAAGGCAATTTAGTCACTTGTGATTTCTGAAGAAATGTGAGGATCTTTCTTTGTATTACTGATGGTTTTCATTTGAAAATAAATACGTAATCCAGAGTGGCTCTGTTCTGTGATACAATCACAAACATAGGCAAATACCTAAGTCTCTAATCTGTTCTGAGGTGCACTGAAATCATGCAGGGGGAGAAAGGACGTCTGGTCCCATTTCTCCAAGGGGAACTTCTCCACATAGATCTACATTACCCTGACACTTTTTCTGTAAATATTTTGAATGTGGGTGATCAATTTCTGTCACTTGTCCAACACCTAGAAGTGCCTGACAACGTTCTAACATGAATTTCTGGATTGGTTTTAGAAATAGAGTGACTGGTAACAGTAGCTACAAATGGCTGGTCTATTTTAATGCGAGCTTAATTAATGCTGCATATGAAACTCCAAATGTCACCATCCAAGATTTTTTTAAATTTAATTATTAAGCTGATTTACTTAACTTATTCTCAAATAAAATTTGAATTTAGTGTAATGTGAATTTGAAACTTATTACAATAAATTCATCTTTTCAGGAAAAAGAGATTTCGTAAAATCACTCCATTATGATTTTAGTATATGGATAAGAACTATACGAAAATGTCACAAATAATATATGACTTCAACTTTACAACTTGAACTATAGACTTGCAGAAGAGGGCAGGGGTGTCCTACAGATTCCAAGCCGTTGTTTGATGAAGTTGGAGATCAGGAGCTGAGGTTGTTGCTGGTACTCTACCAGAACCTCATGGGACAAGTTGATCTGGTTACATTCAAGTCTGTCGAGAAGTGTCACACAGACCACAGCAGCTAGAACAACAAATAACACGATTACTGAAATGAATAGGTTTATCTTCTGTATAGAAATATGATCCAAACACAGCAATATCCCCAGCACATGTACTTTTCTTTGTTCTCCCTGTAATGTAAATGCAACCGCTGGACTCTCTAGTCTTCCATATAATTCATATTTCTGTGGAAGCCCACCAAAATACTTCATCTGGCAAAAGTTAATTGTAATTATTATTGTTGTTAGGTGCTGTCGCGTCAGCTTTGACTCATGACAATCCTATATACAACAGAATTAAATATTGCCTGGTCCTGTGCCATCTACATGATCATTGGCATGTTTGAGTCCATTGTTGTCTTCCAACCTGGGGACCTCATCTTCCAACACTATATTTTTGGAAGTAGATTGCTAGGCCTTCTTCTTTGTCTTAGTCTGGAAGCTCTGCTGAAACCTGTCCGCCATGGGTGACCCTGCTGGTGTTTGAAATACCAGTGGCATAGCTTCCAGCATCATAGCAACATGCAAGCCACCACAGTACAACAAACTGACAGATAGGTGGTGGGTAATCACTATTACACTCCTTGTTCCCCTTCCTGATGATTGGTTAAATTAAGGCTCAGGAAAACCACATGTCCAGGATAAGAACAAGGAGAGACCTTTGCCAGCCAGGACGCACAAACTCCTAGTTTCTATCATATTTCCAGTTCTCAGAGAAGGCTCTGTCTTACTTGAGGATGTAACTAGAGATCTTGCCACTACTCCTGAGGTGACATTTTTATTCCTTGGCACAATGTTTGAATTTGCCTGCTGCAGCCCTTGTAGAAACCTCTATGTTTAAAGAGTAAAGTAAACTCTGAAGAGGTATGGAATGCTGACCTCAGGAAATACCAATAAAGGTGAGTACTGACCCTCATGCAATTCCTCATAAAAATATGAAATGAAGTACTTAAACACAAGAATCAGCTCTGTGAAAGAGCCAATTTATTAGCATTTAATCTCTAAAAAATGAGAATAAAATTTCTTTATAGATAAGAACGAGGGAGTTTTTTTGTTAAAAAAAAGAACAAAAATACACTTAAAAAATATTGAAACTCTTTTTTTTTTTAAGTCACAATGAGGACAATGTCTTTGGTTTTATTCATTCAGGAAGAGCCAAAGAGAAGTAAGGGACTTCATGCAAATTCTTATTAATTTCACATCACATCTGTGATTTCAAGTAATGTGGTTGCACACACTGAAACAATGTTAACCACTTTCAATTGCTAGTAGTTGTAATAATCTCTGTCTTCATATGCAGCATTTCTAAAAAAGAAGTCAGTGCATTTGGGATTAAATGTGTCTGCACTAACAAGCTTTGAGGGCATGGAGGTGGAGTTGGATGTGAGTGTATTTTTTTTTAACCTCTTTACTACTTCTACTTCAGACTTCTTTAGATCTGGATTTGGGGACAAGAAATGTCCTGTAATTATAACAGATGCTATCTTTTGGGGGGTTTGTTTTAGTTTTTGCTATATGTCAGGCATTTATATCATTTAATCCTTACAACGAAGACATGAGCTAGATATTATTTTTATCCCCTTCTGACAGGTGATTAAATGAGGGCTCAGAGAGGTCGAATAAACAGCACAGTATGGCAACGCTAGTAAATAGACAATCAATTCCCAGCTTCCTAAACTGCTGAGACAAGTTCTCCCCCTTCCATCCACTCCTCCCCTGAGCTGGCACATGGTGAACCATTAGGCAAACCTGCCTTGACCTACCGGTCAAACTGACCCTTTTGTTCAGTGAAGTGAAAAGCAACAAAAATATTCACCTTGAGCTGCGTCAAATATTTCATCACCTGGGACTCTATTTATTTAAAAGCCACTCAACTGTAAAGCAACTTGGCTGAAAAAGTGAACAAGCAAGTAGGAGAACTGGAAATTTCCCCTAGCTTTTTAAGTTAATGATCAGCAAGTCTGTAGAGCCTGACATGGGCTGGCAGTAGGAGAGAAAAGTTGGAAGTCCTGCTGTAATCCTTCACTTGTCAGGAGGCTAAAAGGAAACCAGTGCTCTGTACTTTTTTTTCACAGCACAGGAGCCAACTTTCCTAGATGTCTTTGCTGATGATTTCAAGGGAGATACCAAAGACGGAAAAGAACAGGTCCTAGCAATCTCAGTTGTATTTTCTTGACCCTGGAGAACCCATTAACCAGCAGCATATAATAATCTTGTCACCTAAAATTACTATTTCCATGAGCAATTAAAAGGGACTAATTACCCAAAACAATTTGTTGAAATTAAGCCTGACAGCTTTGCTACCATAATCCTCCAGCAAGCACGGAGGGTGGCTCCTGTGGAAGGACACTTAGCGGCCTAGCTGTCACCAAGGAGGTTGCCAGCTAACTGACCTCAAGCTAGGATATGACAGGAACACAGAAGCCTGAGCACGGAGCTGTACACCCCTTCAGTTGCACCAGGAACTCCGAGCCATCTTTTATAGCCCCTTTGAGAATCTGATGAAGTCAGAGCTGGAATCGCTTTTCACAGCAAACAGGAGATCTCAGATCTAGTCAGGGACAGATTACCCAATAAGCAAGGTACGCATGGCTTACTTGTGCTTACTAATTTGTAGTGCACAATTTCACCTTTTTTTCACTGCATCGGTAAGAGTGTGAGATTCATATCAACAAATATGTAATAAATTTCTACTATGTGCCTGCTCACCATTTTAAAGTAGAAAAATCTGCATCGACATTGTAATGGTGCAGCATTTTAATGGTGCAGTCTCTGTCAAGAGACTATGAACCCACGGTGAGGCTGCTGGGAAGAAGCAGCACAGTCCAGTCCAAAGGGGCCTTGAGTCAGACAGAGCTGTGTTCAAATTCCAGCTCAGCTATTTAATAGCTGTGAGAACTTGGGAAAGTTACTTAATTTCTCTGAGCCATAGTTTCTTTTCTTTTGTGAGGATGAAGAGAGGCAATTGGTTGCCTCGTATTTTTGTGTAATGATTTTTCAAAATCCTGACCTTTCTCTTCATTTTAGGGTCAAGAAATGCTTCAGCTCCAGACTGAACAGAATCTTTAATCCTGTTCTAATATCTTTTGACTTTATCAATGATCACTGTGCAGTTCCCAGAGCTCAATATCCTTTATTGTTGCCACCAGCAGAAGAATATAAAAATGGAATTAAAGTTAACATTCCTCTCCCTTTCACTGAACTGTAATGAAGTAATATTATGAAGACTGAATAGATCCTCAAACTTACCAGTGTCTGTCCAAAGAATTAACATTGAATTCTTCCTTTACCTTAAAGAAAAACCACTGTCAGGAACATAAACAACTAAAGACATAGAGTAGGATCTCAGCAGAGCCTAATCTGAGATAAATATTAGGTTTCATATACTGGCATGCAAGCAAGTACATGACAAAAGGCAGCAATGTCTTTGAAAACTGGATACAAATTGAACATACTTATCACAAGCTCATAGTGCAAAAGGATTACCATCTTTAATCAGAATGTTAGGGGTTTAGTTTAAGTAGATTTTGCTTTAAAAGAGGGACAGCTATATGCATAATATAAAATGATAGATGAATGCATTTATTCAGCATTATACAGTGGGATTGCATTATTCTGAAGGTTCAGCCTGAGCATGTAGAATAATATGGTTAAAGCAACATTGGATTGCCACTACTTTTTTTCTAGGATAAGGAGCTCAGGATTGCAACAGTGACTAATTGGGTGTTGGCAGCCTCATTATAGGGAGTTTGTCCACCTTCAATATCTACAGGGCTCATGAGGCCCAGGGGCTGCAGATACAGCAGAGGAAGAATCTGCATGGGCCTTAGGGCTAAGCGAGGTTCAAGTTTAAGGCTTTACCTCCTCGTAAGTCTTTTAGACAATTCCAAACCATCAGTATGGCTGGGGAACGAAGGTTCCAATTGAGCTTGCTAAGGCCATTTTCCATGGCAGAGTACAGTAGCCACTCTTTTCATTCATTTGTTCATTTATTCACATCCAGCAAATATGTACTGAATGATCCTGTAGCAGACATTATTCTAAGATATGCAATCGAAATGTTAAGCGAGGTCCTTGCTCTCATAGAGCTTACAGTATTTTTACATAAATAATGCATGCCTTCTACGTTTGTTTTACAACCTCGCTCTCCTCCTGCAAGATATTTTTGTAAGTGCACTATGCTAATTTTTTTTCCTGCAACATGTAAAAAAAATTGGCATATTGGCACTTATGAAAAATGCCTCGTGGAAGGAGGGCGTGATTGGCCAATAAACACAGAAGGCACTCGTTACTTGAGTAAAAATACACTATATTTTAAGGAAGAGAAATAATAAACACATACCTTCATGCACTAATTAATGCAGGTAGTCCCCAGCTTATGACGTATTCAAGTTACAACGAACCACACTTAGGACCATCCGTTTTGTTTTGTTTTTTTGTACATCTTATCATTAGGAATATGTACTCCATACAATATTGCTGCACATAATTTGCTGATGTCATCATATCTGTAAGTTTTTATGTAACATTTCCAACCCCCAAAGACAATTAAAGATCAGATTTATAAAGACACTGATAATCATAATAATGAAAACTGAAAAAAAAAAAAAAAAGGAAGTACTCAACTTATGTCAGAACCGAATTACAACAGAGTCATAGGAACGGAACCCATTGTAAGTTGGGGACTGCTTGCACATAAATTAATATGTTAAAAAAAACAGGTATGTAGTAGATAATGGTAAATGTAATGCTGAGAAGTCAAGTGGAATAACGTGACTGTGAGTGAGTGAGTTTAGCTTAGGTAGTTGTGCAAGGCTTCTCTGAGTAGGTGAGATTTATGCTGAGATCTGAATGACCTGAAGTAAACAGTCATGAAAAATAAAGATTGGACACTCAGGGAGAGGGAACAGCCAGAGCAAAGTCCTAAAGCAGAAACAAGCTCAGCATGTTACAGAAATCAAAATAAACCAGTGTTGGAGCCTAGTGGGCAATGGCCGGGAGGGGTGGCAGGAGATAAGGTCCAAAGGGTAAACTGGACCAGACCATTGGGAGCTCCGGTGTAAGTGAATGACTGAGAACTCATACTGTTCCATGTATCAGGTTGAACATGGACAAGCTGAAGATTCTGAAGTACAAATAAAAAAGAATAAAAATGCTTGGCATATGGTAGATATTCAATTACTATTTATTGATTAATAAGTATATTTCCAGATTAATATACTCCAATTAAATTAACCCCTAATTAATAGACAGTAGCAGAAACTGATGTTAATTTTAAAGCTAAAAAACAGTAATCCACATAGACCCAAGACTTCCTTGTGCCAGGCGGATGTAGAAAGATCTGTCTTTACGTAGATCCTAACTCATGATTCCTTTGAGTTAGGACAATGGGTCTCTAAAAGCCCTTAAAATAATAAGAGGTTGTTATTTCTAAGATGAAACCATGAGTCATCATCATTTTAGTATGAATTCACATTGATTATCCAGTCATCAGGCAGTATTAAAAGGACGGAAAAGGTTGTCAGAGAAAGCTGCTGGAGAAAGGGGGTGAGGTTGTCCATCACCTGGGAGGTCGGTGGCTGCTGGTGATCCTTGAGCTCCTGGTGCCAGAAGAAACCTATTTTCCAATGTTGCTTACCATGATTTATCCTCCCTAAATCCCTCTATATTTCAACAGCTGCTTGTGAATGCACTCTTACCCCTTGCCCAAATCAAGATTTTCTAGCTCACACAAACTGGGCTATAAGTAGGTTAGAATCAAAAGGTGCCTGGTGCTAGCTTGCAAGCTTCCCTGCAGTGGGCGAAGGATGTTATGAAGTGGTGATACTGCCTGGGAACACCCTAGCACCATACGCATGGGATTTTTGTCTATTACCTTGGTGGCTGTTCTTCCAGTGGTCACTGTACCAGGAATCCACCTTTTAAAACAGTAGTTCCTGAGGGAAATAAAGAGTCCCAGCTACCATGAAGAAATTCAGAGAGAAATAATCCCAAGAACTACAGAATTACACAGTTACAGATACAACAGTTAGTACGAACGTTGGCAGCCCAGAGGGGGTCAGCCCAATGAAAACGTGTAGCAGCAGCCTGGAAAAGAGCTCTTGGCAGGCTGAAATCAGCCACCAGCAGCTGCAACAGCAGCAGAAAAGGGAGATGCAGCAGGGGACAGAAACCACAGACAGGTAGGAGAGGAAAGCATCCCGAAGGGGCACATGCAGGTGACACAGAGAGTGAGGTCACAAAGATTTTCAGCAAGCAGAGCAACACCCTTGTAAGACAATAACTTCTCTAAGGTTTGTTTCTGCAGCATCCTCAGAAAGAGGCAGACTTGGGTCGAGGGCTCACAAGCACAGAGCTCTCCCTGAATGGCCATCAGTGCCTCTTAAATAAAAAGTGATGGGCATCATAAAACTTACACTAGAGCAGCACATCTATAACCAGGGATTTTATGTTTAACTAAACCAGTCCAGCTGCCATCCAGTCTGTCTCAACTCATGGCAACCCCATGTGTGTCAGACTAAAACTTTGCTCCATAGCATTTTCAATGGCTGATTTTTTGGAAATAGATGGCCAGGACTTTCTTCTGAAGCACCTCTGAGCGGACTCAAACCTGCAACCTTTTGGTTAGCAGCCGAGTGTATTAACCTTTTGCACCACCCAGGGACTCCATGTTTAGCTAAACAGGTTACCAACTGGAGACATGAGTCAAGCAATCACTTGTTTTTCTAATTAAAAAAACGTGAGGAGGCATTTTCTAAAGCAGCAATACCTAAATCCAGGTGTCCGTGCAGGCTGTGTGCTGATTGGACTGCTACTCAGGCAGTGTCGAGCTGTATGTAGCTGGGGCTCCTGCTCCTACTAGTTTTTACGGAGAGGAAAATAGATATTACTGAGTCTCTGAATGGGGACATGAACAGCGGCCTTCTAAAGAGGGCAAAGATGTGTTTGCTGCTCTTCACCTCTACAGTATGAAGATTTGCACGTACATCTGTTCTGAGAGATGGAAGTGGTTAAGGACAGAGGCTCTACAGTTCATCTCTTCTTATGAATCATAACCTATAACTTTTTTTCTAAAACGTACTTGTAGACATTTTACTGTGTACATTTGGTTTGTAGCTGTGTATATTAAAATTGATTGACTATAAGGACGAATGTGGAATTCTAACTCCACTTGTAATAGAATGAAGCATTATCATACTGTGATTCTTCGCTTCTTCCTTGAAGCTCCTCCACTGGCCGTCAGGCCCCTGCGCTCTCCTGGTGTGCTGCCAACGTCACTGGCCACCCCGTCGACTCCTTTGCCGGGACTCCCTCACCTCCCCGAACTTTCAACTTTTAACCAGGGCTCTCTTCTTGCCTGTGTCTACCCTTATCCTCTTTGTGATCTCATCAGTTGCATGGCTTCAAATATCACCTATATGCCTGTGAGGAGCCCTCGTGGTGCAGTGGTTAAGAGATTGGCTGCTAACCAAAAGGTCGACAGTTTGACTCCACCAGCTGCTCCTTGGAAACAAACCCTATGGGGCAGTTCTACCCTGTCCTATAGGGTCGCTATGAGTCGGAATTGACTCGACGGCAATGGGTTTGTTTTCTTTAGTAGGCTGTCAACTTCTCCAATCCAGTCCTCTTGCCTAAACCTCAGATTCATAAATCCAGCTGTTTCTATGGCCTCTATTTGGTTGCCCGTTGCTGTTCTTAGATACCATTGAGTTGATTTTGACTCATAGCGAGCCCACGTGACAGAGTAGAATTGTCCTATGCGGTTTTCCAAGCTGTAATCTTTGCGGGAGCACATCGCCAGGTCTTTCTCCTGTGGAGTTGCTGGGTGGGTTCGATGCTAACCTTTCAGTTAGCAGCCTAGCGCTTAACTGTTGGGCCACCAGGGCTCTTTATTTGGATTTCTACTACCTCCAAATCCTCATCCACTTTTCCGTATCTCAACTACGGTAATGCTGTCTGTCCTTCTAGCTGTCAAGGGTAAAAACCTGGGAGTCATTCTTGACACTCTGTTTCTCTCACCATTCACATCAAACTGTCAGCAAATCCTACTGGACTTGCCTTTATAATGTCCCCGGAGTCTGGCTATTTCTCCTACTTCTGCTGCCATCACCCTGATTCACCATCTCTCACCTAGACGCTGTAATAGCCGCCTAACTCCTCTCCCTGCTTCTGCCCTTGAACTTGTCAGGATCTTCTCAACTCAGCAGCCAGAGTGAGCCTGTTAAAGCCCAGGGCAGACCCAGTGACTCCTCTTCCAGTTTACAGGAAATACATGATATAGAGGAACAAGTTCAACGGCACCATGAAGAAATTACCAGACAAATACAGAAAGCGGGGCAACCTACTAATTAAGGCCGCAACTATTCAAAAAAGGCAATGAATGTAATGTGGGGGGGAAAAAGAAATGTTGGGGGACTATTCTAGATTAAAACAGTACAGAGTTATAACAACCATGTAATACAATGTATGAAGTTGCTTGGATATTGAATAAGTTTTATAGCTGAAAAAGACTTTTTTTGGGAAATTTGAATATGGAATGGATATTAGGTGATGTTATGAAGTTATTTTTACTTCTCTTAGCTTTGCTTAGGTTTGATAATGGTATTGTGATCTTTAGGAGAATGTCCTTCTTAAGAGAGAGGTACTGCTGAGGTACTTAGGACTAAGGTGTGAGGATGCCTGCAATTTCATTTTAATTTACTCATTTTAGAAAGCGTGTGTGTGTGTGTGTGTGTGTGTGTTTGGAGAGAGAGCAAGCACAAATGTGGCAAAATATTAAAAATTGTTGAATCTAGGTAAAGGGTATACAGGTATATTATTCTCTCATCTTTTGTATTTTTGAAATTTTTCAAAATGAAAAGAAGAAAATTCACGTCAATTAACTTTAAAAACACACTACTACACTGATGTTTTTGATGGATTATTTTAGGAACATTTTATTTGCATCCTGTCTCAATAATAAATTCAATTTTAATAGAAAATGGCAGCCACTACCAGGATGAGGAAAACTAAACTTGCTGTCCAGTCCTGGCTCCATAGCCCACTAGCTAGTGACCGCAGCCAACCCACTTGACCCTGGAGGCTTGGTTTCCTCATTTGCATAATGGAAATAATGTCTTGCCCACTCACATAAACAACCATAAGGCAAGCATTCAACCCAAAGTAATATATAGCTGGAGCCCTTTTTCTTCTCCTGAAGAGCAAAAAAACCTACAAAAAAGAGGAAAATTTGACCCCAGGTGTTCATGGGAAGATTACCTTTTAGACCACAAAGTCCACACATGGCCGCAAACACTGTAGATTCCATTTCAATATTCCTGACGCCGGCTTTATATGCTCTCTTCAAGAAATCTCACATTTTTTTCCTCTGGAGAAACAGCACAACGCTCCATCTAATCAACACTGGCCTGAAAGAGAATGGAGGACATTGGGTGACTTGATATCCATCCATGGGGGCAGTGGTGTTGCTGACAGGCCTGCTCCCCAGGGAGGTCAAAACAGCAATCTAACTCTTCCTGTCAGAGGATGGTGGAGCAAGGCTGTGCCGGTACAGTAGCCTTGTGTGGAGGGAGGTGTCTGTGGCACTGAGAGCCCCAGCTCTGGAGCAAGTGACCACAGAGTGGCTATGCAGCCAGCGCTGACCCAGCGGCATTGTGGCCTAGGGGGTCACTGAGGGCTCTGCCCTTTGAGGACAGTCTCAGGTTGCTTCAGTGACTAGGAGGTATTGCCTAGGGTCAGGTGCTGGGGGAGAAGAAGGGGCTTCAAACCTCAGTGATGCTCATAAGCTACTCGAGCATAAGGAAAGTGGTTTGAACACTGCAGCTTTCCATATGCCCATCGTGACATAGTAGCCATAGACAATCAGTCCGTCCACCTGGGTCCCTTCCACACACCTCGCAGGACTCATGCCACCCCTTTGCGATAGCTTTTCCATTTCCAGGCTGTCCTCAATGTTCATTTATCACTTAATTTCACTTGTATCTACTAATAGAGACAGAAGAAGGCAGAGAAAAGCCTGGGCTATTATTCCTCCTCCACCTGCATACACCCAGGAACATACCTTTTCTCCACTCCCCACTCCCAAGAAAGACTCAGATTGAAGTAGGTGGGCTAATAGCATTCTGTTACCCTCCATGAATTTCAGTTTTCTTTTTGTTGCCCTTCCTGCTATTTTTCTCCCTTTATCTCTTTCATGCAATTTCTACTCTGACTGTCTGCTTCTCCTAATTCCCTTCTCCTTGTGGTTGCCTGCCAACACCTCTCACGCAAGTGTTGTTTAAGCTAAATCAAACTCAGATGTCCCAGAAGCCATGCAGGTAATGTCAATGAGCGCCTGGGAAATTAGAAGGTCGGCTCGGTCTGAAGGGGGCAGCCTCCTCTCCCCTCCAGCAGATACACCTCCAGGTGTGGACTGGGGCCTGCCAGGGTTGCCACGCATATTTTATATTTTTATGCTGTGTTATGTTATTTCAAGAAGCCAAAAACCTGGATTCTCATATGAAATCTCCAGAAAGTATAAGTGTTGGCTAAATAATTCACAATTAAAAAAACAACAACAAGTGTGTAGTCCAAAGAAAACATGTCTAAGGTTGACTCCAACAGCCCGCCATTGGCAAGATCTGCTTAAATCCATGGTGACCTTCCAGATGACTGGGCCGTGGGGCAGTGACCTAGGGCAGTGGGTCTCAACCTTATTAGACCAACAGCCCTCCTATTTTATAACAATTACGGGGTGATACCACCTTTACTAACCTGAAGTAAAATTCATAGACAATTTCACCTATCTACATACGTAATTTTTAAAATTCAGTATAATGCCCTAATTTTGATCCAAAGGGAAAATAAAAGAAAGTAACTTATAATAAAATTATGTGTATTTTGATATAGAAATACTCAAACAACTACAATGAAAACACAAGATTTTCAGAATGCACTTCAAGGTGGTACCAAGTTGGTACCTCGAAGGCATGCTACCAACTATGTTTAGATTCTTTCTTCCAAAATGCGCAGGGTCTGTCCTTGGGATTTTTCTCCTCTGGTCCCTTACCCCTTGTAGCAAGAGCTGCAACTTGGCAGTCACCTTTAATTTGTCTCTAAATTTGATCTGAAGATCCTTTAGTCCTGGCCAAGAGGCAGAAGAATCATTCCAAGACCACCCCATCCCTTCGGGCATTCCTCCCCCCAATGCTTCCCCCATTTCCTGGTCCCCACTCTTTCCTGGGCACCAGATCCCTTTTGGGGTACCTTGAATGGCAGAAACATAGAATTAGCATTTTTCCTTTCTCTTAAAGTCACTGATTTAAAATAAATGCATAAACAGAGATAGACTTTGCTACCGTCACTAACTGGATTTTAGTATTCAGTTTGTTCTTGGAGGATTAAACCCAGTCTCGATATAAATTCATTATGGATGTTTCTCTGCTGCTTATTAGATCCTTATGTTCCTATGCTTTAATAAGTAAAAAAGACTGTTGCAGTTCCTTTTTAAATCCCCAACAATTAATTTTTCTAAAGTGGAGTTTTTAATATAAGCTATGCATTTGAATAACAAACACTTGATGGCAATGTTCTGTTGCTTTCACAGTTTATAAATTATTCTCACCTTCATAAAAATCATAGGTACACATGGTATGTCCAATGAGGGTTGGAAAGAAGGGGATTTCTTTGCTACAGTTGAATAGCTCCTCAGCCAGGTCCTTGTCAAGTTCAGTACTTCGGGTGATGATGTTGTCCAAGATTACCTGTTCAAACCGAGGCTTAAAGAAGGAGTCTACAGCTGTGTCCATTATGACAACAGATCCTGACACAATCCCTGCAGTGTGGGAATAAACAAAGTGATTACAGAAGCATGCTGCATAGAGTTTACTTTTGAAACATAGTATTTAATATATTCTGCCAACAATAATTAATGCTGGTTGCTAATGATTCTTCTTATTTTCATCTTAAAATTATTTTCTTTTCCAAGTGCAATTAAACAGTAACATTCTGAACAGGAGTTTACATTTGCTGTCTTTCCAGATTCACATTTACTATGTGATGGGGTTTAGATTTCAAGACAAACATGACTCTTGGACATGCAAATTAGTACTGGCCTTGAGACCCAAATTTGAATAAATTAGGTCAGGAATAAATTAGATGAGCCTGCCAGCAAGTAGCCTTCATAAAGTGCTGTGACTACTTGATATTTAATCTTCTCTGCAACTCCTTGATTACTGTAATTTTTTTGCATCTCTATCCTCTCTTCCTCCTGATTCTCATCACATCCATTCCCTCTCTCCCTGCCCCTCCCTGACATTATGCAAATTAGGCCTCTTGGCTGACCTTCCATTGCTACAAAATCTGGCTTGCTCATGGACTCAGGCTTATCTGAGCAACCTTTTTCTACCAGCTGTTTTTCTTCCTGCCTGGACTGCTCTCTTCTCCTCTGCAACCCCCTTTCATCTGACTAATACCAATTCATTCTTCAGGGGTCAGCTTAAGTCACTTCCTTAAACAGGGCTAAACCCATAGAGGGAAACCAAAGGAAAATTAAGAAGTAACACAGATGGTTACATTAAATTTCTCCAGGCCCGTCTTTTGACCCAACTTTTGACCCATTCTGATTTCTGTTTAGAGCCTGGATAAGGGGTATGTCTTAATAGTGTCCTAGATTCTCTCCCTCCTCACCCTCTTCGCATTTCTTGTAATTACCCATTTGTTTATCTATTTCCCTGGTAGACTATAAGCTCTATAAAGGCATGAAATGAACAATGTCTGTTCATTGCTCTCTCCCCAGGTCTAGCACTGTGCCTATCACATTCTAAGTACTCAGTAAAATTTTACTGAATGAGTGAATGCTTCCATAAAGATGCCAGAGAGCAGAGGTCTACAAACTATGGCCCATGGGCCAAATCCAGCTCACTACCAATCTTTGTAAATAAAGATTTATTGGAACACAGCCACACCCATTCATTTACATATTGTCTATGGCTCCTTCACATTACAATGGGAGAATTGAGAGATTACAATAGAAACCACATGGTCTGCAAAGCCTAAAATGTTTACTATCTGGCATTTTACAGAAAAAGTTTGTTAACCGCTTATATAAAGCATAGCCATATCCTTCTGGGTGGTATAAATTTCAATACTGATCAAAGTAAAGTTAATTACAGAACACTCTAGAAGATCCATCTAGAAACCCAAAGTGACCTCTGATGATAGAGCCTTGATGGGTCAGACTTCAAATAAGTCAAAAAGTGGATCCTTAAATTGTTAGCAATGTCCTGAGAATAGGAAAATGATTGACAAAGAAGTTAAAAAGGTGTGTATCAAAAATGGTAATATTCACATGTCATCTTAATATGTAGATGCATTAGAGAATTTATGTCATAGTTAAAGTCTTTCAAAGGCCAAAATATTATTTAACCAAGTACTTTATCCTCATCAAGTTGTGTTGGTTCATCTAACAAGTGGGAATGTCAGCAAAGAAAAAAGCTGTACCTCCTTCATCCTCAGATGCAGTGCTATTTAACACAAAACAAACACATCTTATTGATAAGCTAAGAGTTATTAATGAAGACAAAACTTCAAAACAAGGGTGTCCACACAAACACAGTGGTTTAATTTTCACCATTCATAAGACTTCACTGTGATACAGGTAGTACCTGTGTGCTGTATGTATCATGGTGCCATGGAACAAAAGACCTGGAATCCAAGGCCATGGGCTATAGATGGTCACTGAGTGCCCTGTCCATGCTGGACCCTCACTAATATCAAGTGGCAGCCACAGCGGTGAGGATGATACACTGCATGGGTGTGGGCTATAGAGACAGATCTTTGTAGCCCACAACCCAAGAATTAAAAGCAACCTTAGGAACAATGTTATCCATTTAATCCCCCAATGCATTGTTCCCTACTATGATTATCTGGAGTACTATTGCATAAAATGCAGTCTAGATAAATGCCTGATCTAATACTGATTGCTAAGATTTTCCTACTTTTTCTGGATATCCACAGATGTCCTTCTTTCTCCCATCTGTGAGGGCCTTGGCGAGACTTTATTCCTGTGCCACGGCTGTGGAAAGGCCATAATCTTCTTGGCCATGTCTGATTCTAGTGAAGCCTGACTCAATCATCCATGGCTCTGTGATTTTGGTTCAAGCCACTTTGCTTCTCTGGTTCTTTGAGGGTTTCTGAGTTCCCTTCTTGCTCCAAAAATGTGTAATTCTAAGACTTCTTCTCTTTCAAAATTTCAGCCTTTTTAAAAAATCTCATTAATTCTTCACTCTGTTGAACAAACCTTTCTGGTTATAATGTCCTGTCTGCATTGTACTTGATGATGTGGTAGAATCACACCCTAACAAGATCTGTTCCTTTAGAAAAGACTAAAGAAAGATAAAAACTTAAAACACGAACAAAAAAACTGAGGTAAACCTTAGCCCAGTGTGGCTGCAGAAGCAAAGTCCCTTTACTGACTGACCAACCAAGGAAGATGCGAGGAGGGCAGGCTCTGGGAAAACTTTAGGAAGTGTCTTCTGGCCCTTGCCTAAAAGCCCAGCCTGGTCTCTTTCTGATATTTATAAGGAAAAGACCCAACTGAGAAAAGTGATGTAGTCACTTGTTTGAGCTAAAAGCAACATTTTCCTAAGAACTATGCAGTCTGCTAATTTTGCTGATAAACAATTAAAATCTTTTTTTACATGAAAGCACTTATTTCTGTCACTTATAAAATTCCTAAGCCTCAAAATTTATTCCAACTCTCAAATTTACTCTTACCTCCTGTTATTGATTGAATTGTGTCCCCCCAAAATATGGGTTGTAAATCCTAACCTCTATGCCTGTGGGGAAGCCCTGGTAGCACAGTGGTTAAGAGCTCAGCTGCTAACCAAAACGTTGGCAGTTTGAATCTACCTGCCACTCCCTGGAAACTCTATGGGGCAGTTCTACCCTATCCTATAGGGTTGCTGAGTCAGAGGCAACTCAACGGCAATAGGTTTTGGTTCTGTTTTTTATGCCTGTGGTCATAATCCCATTTGGAAATGGGTTGTCTTTGTTATGTTAATGCGGTAAAATTAGTGTAGGGTGTGTTTTGAGTCAATCTCTTACAAAATATAAAAGGAACAGATTAAGAAAGCAGAGATGGGGAAGCTAGATGCCAAGCCACATGGAGATCTCCCAGGAACCAGGAAACAGTAGTTGAAGAGACAAGGACCTTCCCCGAGAGCTGACAGAGAGAGAAAGTCTTCCCCTAGAGCTGATGCCCTGAATTTGAATTTCTAGCCTCCTAAACTATGAGAAAATAAATTTCTGTTTGTTAAAGCCATCCACTTGTGGTATTTGTTACAGCAGCACTAGATAACTAAGCCACCTCCAAAACATATTTTCTAACATTTTTCCTACCTATGAATGCCTAAGAGGGCAGTGGTAGTTCTGTGGTAGAATTTTTACCTTCTATGAGGGAGAGCTGGGTTTGATTCCCGGCCAATGCCCCTCAAGCACAGCCACCACTCGTCTGTCAGTGAAGACTTGCATATCGCTACAATGCTGAAAAGGTTTCAGGGGAGCTTCCAGACTAAGACAGACTAGGAAGAAACGTCTGGCAATCTACTTCTGAAAATCAGCCAGTGGAAACCCTATGGATCACAATGATTCAATTCTGTCGTGCATGGGGTCACCACGAGTCAGGGGCCAACTGGATGGTAGCTAGCAACAACATGAATACCTAAGACCATCTGGGCAATAAGCAGTAGCTCTTCTCCCTCCAGGTTTCCCTGGAGAAAAAAGAAAAGGAAAGGTAATATGGATAGAGTTCCTTATGAGTATGTTGGTGGATTTTGGCAGCTACAGTATATGCTAGAATCACTTGGTTTTAATGATAGAAATCAATCCATCTCACCTATTCCCCCTGATGTACCAATTCGGATAACGGTAACATCACAGCACCGAGCATGGTGAAGTAATTTGATGAGTTCATGAAGCATAATAGAAATAGAGGGGACACCCATTCCATGCTGTGGAGAGAAAAGGGAAAGTCATTATACATCTCACAAACTGATACACGCACAGGACATATTTTCTTCCTTCATTACAAGTTAACAGACTTCAGATACATTTACATAATCATTAAGACTTTGCCAATGCTGAGGGAAACGTAAGTCATCTCTAACTGACGGCTACATGACATGCTGATAGATGTGTCCATCTGTGAGGCTTAGAGAGATGCATCTTTCTGCCAGTTGACTTCAGCCCTTATCATCAAGAGCAGAAAGCGAGGATGGCATAGTGTTCAGGTGTGTCAGGGCAGTGCCGTTTCTCGTCTCTCCACTGGGCTCTTTAGGGTGATGCTTTGAAAAAAGGGCTTTTTGCAAGATTGACTTAATCTTGAGGAAATTTAGGCTTGACTGCCATGTCTCTAATTAGTCCTTTCCCACCATACTAAATGAAACAGTAAATCCATTTCACTGCTCTCATTTGTCCTTGCTCACTTGCTGTTAATTCTGTGTGAGCCCTGAAAGGTACTAGGGTAGAGATATGGGTTATATACACACCTAACATCTTGGAGCTTATTCTGAATGTGTAGACGAAGTTAGGTTGCTATAGATCATGACCATAACCCTGGTTTTCCTCAGCATTTAGAACAGTAGAATCCATGTCACCACAACAGAGGTGAACACAGGCTAGAGGATTTAGTACTTAGAGGCGTAATGAAGGTATGGCAGGTAGGATGGGCCTTGAGAAGAAGAGCTAATGAGCAGTTTCTGTTGGCCACTGCAGTTTCTATTGCCAGCTGTGATAGATCATTCAGCAACTTAAAACTAATTGCTATAGGCACTATTTTCTGTAGATAGGCCCCTGGTAACTCCTGATTGGTTGTACGGTGTTCTAATAACTCTCCAGAAAGATCCTACGTGCTGGAAAATTATAGTAGCCATTACTCTCCCATTAACAAATCTGGAAAACAACAGAGACGTAATCATGATGCTTTCACCTGAGTTCCCTTCCTCTCACTATAAAAATAGTAAACTATGGAAATCTGAAATCTCTGGGTTCCCTGTTTTGGTTCCCATTGACTACGCCCTGCCTTCCTAGTGCACTGTAATCCTCCTGGTGTCAGGAATCAAACTTACATCTTTGTGGGTTCAAGATAAACATGTCTGGGGCTTTGGCACCGGCTCTGCCACTAATGATTAAACTCTTTGAGTCTCGTTTTCCTCAATTGTAAATTAAAAGGATGAATTATTATTTGATAGATTAGGTTCTTTCTAAATCAGACATTTGTTAGGTTTAGGATTATCACTCATTATGCACCTTGGTGATAAAATGACAAATGGGTTTGTGTATTTCTATGTCTACTAAAGTCAGCCCCTCTTCTCTCTCACACACACACACACACACACACAAACAACTCGATAGCTACTAGAGATGAAGAATTTTCAAAGGAGCCCCCATTGGAAATCCTCTGCCTGCCTAGTAATGCCACTTTCTAATTAGCTAATTTTTTATCATTAACCTATAAATAAGGCAACCAGATGCAAAGTTTGATATACTAAATAAAGAAAAAGATAATCACAAAATCAAAATAAGTTTTGATATTATTTAAGTAGGTGTTCCTGGCTGACCGCTGGGTGCGATACATATTTCAGCTCTTTTTCACTTACAGAACAGCAAGATCAGTCTGTGGCTGTTTTTACATCTTACTCTGAAGTTTTACTGCTTGTTTATGGTAGCTTCACATTTTTATAAACCTTTTTTTTGTCCTTACTCATTTAGACTGCACACAAAAGAACAAATAATTGCAGTATAACAGTCAAGCAAAAGTCAGTAAGAGAACATCTTCCAAGACCAGAGGATATACAGCTTCCTTCTAATGTAGATATTCTATAATAGTTCACTGAATGGACAAATGAATAAAGGGAAGAATTTTCCCATTTGAGCCAAAAGCAGGCTTCAGGCATTCTTGGCATACAAGGGAGATGAGCTTAGCTGTCTCGTTGGCATGGCATAATTTTTCCTTCCTTACCCCAACCTTCCAGCCATGATCTCCATCCCTCCATGACCAGGTACTGGAGAGTGATGGATGGATGGTGATCATTCGCTGGCATAGGAGCCACTCATAACTCAGCTCCTTAGAATGGCCACGCCTCTGCAGTAGACTCTTCCCCAGTCCCCTGACATTCCTAAGCAGGGAATTCCTGCCCCTTCTGAGAGTTGCAGTGTCCAGATATGTGAGGAGCTTAGAGCTGTTGCTTAGAAATACAGCTCTGTGCTGAGAGACAAGCTCAGAAAGAAAATTGGGTACACACACATATACACCTTCCAAAGTGTATCCACCCTGAGTCCGCTTGGAAAATGGTCTGCATGTTCCCTGAAATTGCAAATAATTCCACTCCCATTTTGCCTTAGGGCACTGTGTGTGTCCAGAGCTGTTAACATACATATTCTAAATGCAGGACAGCAATTCACAAGGGCTCCCTGCAAATGCATTAGCAGTTTTTCAGTGAGCTTATTATAATGTTAAACTGCACCACTTTGGCAATGCTGAAAATTGGCTCCTGTATGCTAAAAGCTCAATACTTCCCAAGTTGGTTAAGGTGTAGAAGAAAGAAAACTGCTGGTGAGTTAATCAGTTACAAACGAAAGACAGTGGTGGTGTACTTTGAGGGTTTTTTCCTGACTGGAATAGCTAAGTGGTAACTAATGAACTAGAGTGACACGGAATGTGCTATGTTCTGCCCTAGGACTTTTCCCAGTAATGAATGTCATACCTGGGCACTTAGTTTAACTGGCTAATAATGCATAGCAAGAGGGAAAAAAGAACTCCTATATGAAGAAATCTGCACTTTTTATTTACCTTGCCGATGACTTATTGAAATGCAACCATTAAGTACTTACGCTGATGGAGAGCACAGGACCAGTTTAGTACATGCAGTATCTGTCCGTCCCAGCACAGATGTCTTTTATTTCTTCTTCACCTTCCTCATATCCAAGCTCCTTGCACATAAATAGTGCAAATGCTTTCATTCTGTTAGGGCTCCCGCCGACACAGACAAACTGTTAATAAAAACAAACAATGGCCTTCCATAGTAATTGGGACAAGAACCAAGGTCAGCTTTCAACCTGAATGTTTTTATTTTATTTTCCAGTGATTTTCATAATAGTGTGTGTGTATGTTGTGGGTCATGTTCATGAATTAGTTAATTTTCATCATCAACCTATAAATAAGGCAACCAGGTGCAAAGTTTGATATACTAAATTAGCCAGTAAAGGAAAAAAAACACAAAATCGAAAGAAGTTTTGAAATTACTTAAGCAGGTGTTGCCTGGTGTTTTTATTCACAGTGAACATCAACCAGCATTTCAAGTTGACATAGACAGCCCACAGTTGAGCATTAGCTGGATATTTACTTAATATCTAAGTACTGAAGGCATGAAATGTAAGTAACATGTGACCAAAAGGAGAGCTACTACTTTTAGACGTTTTCTGATTCCACATCCCCAACTGTAAGTTTTTACTGTAAAATGTACTATATTAATTGAAAGCTTTAATGGAATTCTGCCAAGACCTAACTTTTCATCCAAAAGAAAGCCTCATGGAACAAGTCTTATCATTATAGATTGTAAATCCCACCACCATACTTCACCAATTGCAAAGATTTTAGTTTTTTCACATTTCAACATCTTGGAAACTGGATAGGTGTTAACAGCCAAGGGCAACTTAAATCTAATGAAATGTGGTAGTAAAAATGTCTGGTCATTGCTTGGGCAACAGCCTGTTAGGGGTGCATCAGCCCCAGGGATGAGAGAGGTGAACGCTGAGGGAGGACCAGAGTGGTCTCATGGTGGCATGAATGAACTGCCGGCCGGCGAGCACTGGGGTCAGCAGTGAAGAAGATGAGTGACAGCAGACAGTCAGCGACTCAGGAGGACAGCACAATCCACAGAAGGGCATCGGGCAGAAAGTCACTCGAGACTCTCAGGCAAGTGGTGAGGTGCACAGAGTCTGAAGAACCTTCAAAACAGAGAGGTAAGGGAATGTAGTGGCTAAGTGCCTGCCCTTTGAGGTGAGGTAAACCTGGCTTGGATCCCAGCCCCACTGCTGACTAAGGAACTTGCTCAACGTCATGCATCTAATAGCTACGTGCCTCGCGTCATCATCTCCGAAACAGGAAAAACGCAGTACCCCTCATGGAATTTTGTAAGGATGAAGTGGGATTGCATATGGCAAAGAACTTTGCATAAAGCCAGACACATTCTAAGTGTTCAAATAATAGTAACTGTATATGATGTAGCAATTTCCTGGCCCTGCTTTTGAACTTGTTTATTGTTGCTGTGGTGTAGAATTTAGTACAAATGAAACTGGTTCATGTCCTAGTGTAAGGCAAAGGCAGTTGGTGGTGCCTGACTGATGTGGTAGCATTGGACAGAGGATCCGAAGGAGGGCCTGACCTGGCACAGTCCCTTGCAAGGACAAAAAAATATGTGTCTAAGGAAATATCTAAGTAAGATTGTAGAGTAGGAGCTTCCATTCACAAATGAATAAATAATATAACTATCAGGTGGTCTGATTACATGATGCATTCTGTTTCCATTTAGCAATAATTCCCTTGCCACATTCATTCTCAATTATAGGACATAATTATCCTTTTATCCAGACGCTCTGCTTCTCTTCCACCCTCATTATTGACTTTTCTGTGCCTTCTTAGGAGTTTCTCGGTTGGAGCCTAAGGTTGGTAGGACACTGCAGCGGAGGTCAGTCATGAAGGCTGAGGAGCAAAGAGGATCAGACCATGATTTAAGGTGGGTTTCTAAAAATTATTATTGATTATTTATAGACATTTCCTCCATTGACATAGATAGTTTGAGATTTGGCCCAAGATCTAAGTACACGGAAGTTTTTTTTTTCTTCAATGTACAGTAGTTTGAAAATAACCTCATTGTGTGGTGCCAGTGAATGTAAATTACAACTATTCAGATTGACCATAAAACTGAAACAGATGTTAGAATAGCTTGTGGTTTGAATTCTTCTTTGAAGTATAGATATTGCTGTAATCAACAGGAATTTCTGAATGTTTCTGGAGACATAGAGATGATATGTACAGACAGAGCAGCTTAATTCTTAAAGTCTTATTCCTAAATCAGACTTACTAAATATCACCTCTAGACATGATTTTCAGTCTGGCCATCTTAATGAAAAGTAAAACATAGCTGAAGACAACCAACCAACATGGGCTTTAAGTGTCACTTACTGCCATTCATGCCCCAAACAAACTTATCATTTGTCCTACTTTCATCAAAGGAGGCAGAAATGCATTGGGAAAGAGTCAGAGGCGTTACAAAAAATGTTAAGGACTTAGCCCAGTGACTTCCAGAACAAACTCACTCTCAAATATCCCCGGTGTCTTAAAAGAGTTAATTTAGGCATTTTGTGTTAATTTGGCCCTACTGTAGTTCACTGTATTTTGCATGTGGACAAAGGTATATAAAGACTTTTTAAAATGTGTATTACATTTTTATGTAATTACATCCTACTTATAAAGTAATGATTTCCCATATTATTTGAAATGTCTTGGGAAAGATTGGAGACTGTCAGTGATCTTGTAAAAGATACCAAAATATAGTGCTGTCTTAAAAAAAATAGTAATAATAAAGAAATAGCCATTACTTTTTCATCAGAGACACTTAAGGTTTTATCCCAGCTCTTTCCTTTACCAGCTGCGTTGTGGCTATTACATGTAGATAGATAAATATATATTATATATGCTTATAACACTACATCTAGCAGTGATCTTGTAAAAGAGATACATATATTGGACATTAAGTTTGAATAGATCACCTCTAAGGATCATCCACCATATTTTCCAATTGCTAGATTCATTCCAGGGAGTATGGCAGAGACTGATAGCTGTTCAACCAAAACTGCTTCCCTTTCTTTCTGGGCATACAACTCAACTTTCAGCCTCCTTTCTAGTTAGATGAGGCCATATGCCTGAGTTTCAGCCAGTAGAATATGAATAGAAGTGCTAGGTGCCACTTGCAGTCTAGCCTGTAGAAATCTCCCATTAGTGATCCTACATATCCTCTTTCCTGTCTACTAGATAGATGTTGACATCCACGGAAACTTTGAGAGCCACTCATTGAACGTGGCAGAGCAAGAAGATGGAAGGAGTCCGGGTCTCTGAATCACCACTTGGAGGAGAGCCATCCATTGATCAAGAACATCTGCTTTCTAATTTATGAGTGAGAAATAAATTTACACTGTATTAAGCCACTGAGATTTTGGGGTAGCATCTAGCAAAACCTTTAAAAATATAATAAGAGGAAATAGGAGTGATTGTCAGACTCTTTAAGGTTTAAACCTTATACACTACATCTATGTTTGAGCCTCAATTTCTTCATCTGGAGAAGAAACTGGAGATTATAACTAACTACCTGAATTGATATGGTGATTGAATGATATTCCACACATTTGTGCCTAGTACAGAGCCTCATACACAGAAAGCACTCTATAAAATGGTAGAAGAGATAGACAGATGGAAAGATAGATACTTAGATTGTAGATAATAGATCACATTTTGTCTCAAAAACATATTCCAAGTCTTTTTAATTCATTGATTAGATGTGTGCCTTTGTTTATTAATTATGATGTGTCTTTCAAAGAATCAGTCATCCCAGATAAGGGTCCTGGGAAAATCACTGTGAGGCATGAATCCCAATCCTAAAATTTGAATTCAGGTAAAATCTGACTAATGAATACCAACGACAGCCCTGATCAATGACTCTCAAAGCGTAAATATCAGAAATATCAGTAGGGAGAGAGGTTACATTGAGAAGATGAAGCCAAAGAAGGAAAGAGGCCCCAAAAAGGCAAGAAGCAGCAGTCTGGAGGGCAGTGAGGAAAGGGATGGGTCATGCTGCTGCCAGGACATCAGCCCACGCCCTCAGACTTAGTTCCCTAGGAGAGAGGCAGAGGAAAGAGGCAATTTAGTATCTACTGTTAATGACATTCCTAACTAAATTTCTTCTCTTTCTTTCCCTCCATCTCTCCCTCCTTTCTTTCTTCCTTTTTTGTCTCCTCTTCTTCTAGCTAACCTCTTCTTCCTCCTCCTCCCCTTTCTTCAACCCTGTACCCACAATTTATGGACAATTCTGAGTTACTATGACTCTAAGAGTTCATCCAGAGCAGTGGATAAGAACATGGAGATTGGACTTGGAAGAACTGGGTCCACCTCTGTATGATGTAACTCTAACCCCTTTTGATCTCTCTGAATTCAATCTATTTGTTTCATAGAGGAAATTAATGTCTGCCTAATCCATCTAAAAGAGCTAATGCGAAGATTTAGCGAGATGGTAGATGTGAAAAAAAAATTTTTTTTTTTTTAAGATGTGAATAAGTCTGATGAAAACTGTACAATTTTCCATTGGTGGGATTATAAATAGGCATAGGCCCTTTTAAAAACAAAAGTTCTTTAAAATATTCATTTCCTGTGACTATTTCTGTGAATCATCCTAAGCAAATAGGCCTAAATGTGAAAAATTATTCATGTAATAATGTACAAAGATATTTGAATGCTGCTTACAATGGAAAATAACATAAAAGTCAGCACTAGACTATGTATGTAATGCATGGTAGAACCATTTGACACCCACAAATAATGTGTTTCAAAGAAAATGTAATAATACGGGAAAATGCTCATGACATAAAGAAGAGTGAAAAATGTAGTATATGAAGTCATATAATTACAATTATTTTTAAATCTAGCCATTAAAAAGGATTGGAAGAAAAAATGATTGATGGTGTTTATGTTTAGGTGGTAGGACTATAGAGTACATTTTTCAAAACCTTGCTCTTTTTTATATTTTCCCAATTTTGAATGATGAACATGAACTAGTTTATAATTTAAAAATGTATTTAAAATAAAATAAATAACACTAAGTACAATTTTCCTAGCAATATTACATAAACATGAAATATTAGATAATGGTTATTTTTCAAGAAGGGGAATAATACAATAGTGTTGCCTTGTTGAGAGTTATTTTATTATTTAATAAAATGAGGATTAGTGAGGTTTTGCTATAAATTTAGATGTTAAATAACGAACTGAACAAAAATATAATGAATTCGAAATATCTCGGAACACCTAGGAATATTGTCAGTATTATCGTATTTCTCTCCAGAGTGGCCAAATAATCATGCGTGTGTTATTAGATTTGGTTAGGGAATCTTTCTGTCTTGTTGGGGTGAAAATGATTGTTCCTGATGTCCACATTATAAATTGTTTCATAGAATAAGTGTGGCTCCAGTTCCTGTTGGGAGCTCAGACATTTCTCCAGCCAAAGATACAGAGTTTATGTTGGTGAAGTAAGAAGAATAATCAGCAGAGGAAACTCAATCATTTTTCCCTAAGTTAGAAATACTTTTACCTTTACATCCCCAAACATTGCTGGTAGATTGTGTGTTTTTGTTCCTAAATCCAAGTGATAGAGAATATCTTCATCCATAGAATCCAGGTAAGGATTTTTAACATGAACAAACCTTCTTCTGGAAAAAATTTCAGAAAATGTAAAGGAATTTGGAGAGAAAGCACATAAAAGAGAAAGTATATTAGTCTACACCTATAACTGCCTCTAGCCCAAATACTGGTCACTAAGCCTCCTCTAGGATTAAATGATTTTGTGGTATAACAATGATGACAATAATAGCTAACATTTGCTGTGCACATACTATGTGCCAAGCATAGCGCTAAGCATGAAAATTGTACAATAGCATGAAAACTGCATACAATGAATAGAATACTTCATTTAATCCCATAACCATTCTATTAGGTAAATAATATTAATATTTCAGTTAACAAACGAAGAAGCTGAGGCTTACAGAAGTTAAAAAACTTGTCTAAGATTATACAACTAGTAAATTACAGAACAGTCATTTCCAGGGATAGATTAACCAGTAAGCAAGGTACACACGGACTTAATTATGTTTACTTACTGTCATGGATTGAATTATGTTCCCCCAAAAATGTGTGTATCAATTTGGCTGGGCCATGATTCCTGGTATAGTGTGATTTCCCATGTGTGGTAAATCCTGCCTCTATGATGTTAATGAGGGAGGATGGGCGGCAGTTGTGTTAGTGAGGCAGGACTCAATGTACAAGACTGGATTATGTCCTGAGGCAATCTCCTGAAATATGAAAGACAGAAGTGAGCAGTGAGACAGGGGACCTCATACCATCAAGGAAGCAATGCCAGGAGCAGAGCGCATCCTTTGGACTGGGGTCCCTGTGCCAAGAAGCTCCTATTCGGGGGGAACACTGATGAGAAGGCCAAGAGGGAGAGAAAGCCTTCCCCTGGAGCTGACACCCTGAATTTGGACTTTTAGCCTACTTTACTATAAGGAAATAAACTTCTCTTTGTTAAAACCATCCACTTGTGGTATTTCTGTTATAGCAGCACTAGATGCTAAGACACTGACTAATCTGTAGTGCACAATTTCACATGGGTTTCACCATGTCTTTGATGTGGTGAAAAACAGGTGAAATTGTGCACTACAGATTAGTAAGTAAGCACAAGTAACCTACGTGTACCTTGCCTATTGGGTATTCTGTTCCTGGTCATTTCTATCCAGTCCTGTCTGACCCTAATGGTTATCTCCATTTGCATGGGAGCCTCTGGAACATAAGCTACTGGGCTCCGGAATCAGATGCCTTGGTTTCCAGTACCAGCTCAACTAAATACACATAAACACACTAGTTGTAAGACCTTAGGTAAGTTATTTGACTCCTTTGTTCTTCAGTTTACTCGTCTGTAAAATGGGTATAGTAAAAATGATAACTGCTTTGCAGGACTGATGTGAGTTCTGAATGAGATAATGTTTGTAACACACCTGATGTTCAATGGACATTATTACAACTCCCAATATTGGAAACCTGGAAGGTGTAGCTTTAGTGAGACCAACCAGAAAAAGTAGGGTGTGGCACAGAATGCTATGTGTTCACCAAAGCCCAATTCCTTTTCCTCCTGGGCACAGTGCTAGACTACCTGTCCCAGTTTTCTCTCACCGTAAGGTGAGGTCATATGACTGAATTCTGGATAATGGAATGTGGGTAGAAGTGACGTATCTACTTCTAAGCCTGGCCCCTAAAAAACAATATCTCACTCAAACCTGATTCTTGCTCTCTTTTTGCTTGTCTGTTGGTCAAATGCAGGAGATGGTGGGGTCACTAGATGAAATGCCCTGGGTTCCTGAATGTCTGCTTGGAGTGGACACACGCTTCACTCCATCAACCTTTGGAAAACTGAGCAAAAAATAAACCTTTATTGGACCAAGCCACCGATATTTTTAAATAGTGTTAGCCTACCCTGACCAATACAGATGGTTGGTACTTGGAAATGGTTTTTGTCCCGTTAGAAGATTTAAGGGAGAATTAAGTGTAGCAGGATGATGAGATGGAAGCAGGGAGCTGAGTAGGAACCTGGAGGTGACAGACTGGATGCGGGTATAGTACAAAAAAAAAAAAAAAAAAAAACCCGTTACTTTCAAGTCGATTCCAAGAGGACAATGAAAGACTGAACGGGTCCAGAGTTCTGGAGAAACAGGGCTTAGAGCTTATCAAAGAAATACTCAGCAAAAAGCATGAAGAACAAGAAGTGAACCTAAAAAGTTTAGAGAAAGGGGTAGTGATAACGTAAAAGACTTGATTTTAGTAAATATATGAAACCATAATAATGCAAAACTGTCCCGCAAATGAAACAAAAATACCATCGATTTCCTGCTCGAAAACATTTAGGGTAACAGATTCTTAATTAGTTAATGAGTCATTCCTGGTTTCTGAAAGAAAGCATTCTATGACAATAATACAAGGAGTCCTGGTGGCACAATGGTTAAGCACTCGGCTGCTAACTGAAAGATTGGCGGTTCGAATCCATCCAGAGGCTCTGCTGGAGAAAGTCCTAGCGATCTGTTTCGTAAAGATTACAGCTTACAAAACCCTATGGCGAGTTCTACTCTGTTATATGGGGGCCACTATGAGTTGAAATTGACTTGATGGCGCTTAACAACAACACCATGGTGATACTGCACTTTACTACTTCAAAACAAGCCTCCAAGTCTCGAAGAAAAGGACACCTCCCTTCTCTTGTAAGAGGCAATAAATAGGGTATTTACCCATACTTCCTTGTTAAACAGCATCAGCATCACCTGGAAGCTTGTCAGAACTGCAAACTCTCAGACCCCACCGCCAACCTACTGAATTGGAATGTGCATTTTAACAAACTCTTGCGTGACTCACATGTACTTTGAAGTTTGAAAAGCACTGCCATCCACTGTCTCTTCCAACTCCTGTAACATTTTCTGTCTCACTCTGACAAAACTGCTTTCATGATCCAGGGATTTTCCTATGGATTCCCAACTCAATCTAAGAATCATTACTCCAGAAAAGAGTCTCCTTCATCTATTCTGATAGTTCTAAATTCTAACTACATAGCAGAATCACCTGGGGTGCTTTAAAAATACTGATACCTTGGCCCTAGTCCTAGAAAGGGGCACTAGTGGCACAGTGGTTAAAGCACTCAGCTGCTAACTGAAAGGTCAGTGATTTGAACCCACCAGCTGCTCTGTGAAAGAAAGATGAGGCAGTCTGCTCCCATAAAGATTTACAGCCTTGGAAACCCTATGGGACAGTTTACTCCATCTCACAGGGCCACTATGAGTCGGAATTGACTTGACAGCAGTAGTTTTGACTCCTAGAAATTCTGATTCAGTTGGTCAAGGTGACCTTGGCCTTAGTGTTTTTTTTTTAATAGTTTTTTTTTATTGTTGTAATTAAATGAGGCTTACATTTCAAGTTAGTCTCCCATACAGAATTTTTTTTTTTAACATACATTGTTATGAGACCCCCAACCGCTCACCCCATTCTGCGACAGCACACTCCTCCCCTCTGCGCCTAATTCCCCATGAACATTCAACCAGCTCCTAACTCTCTCTGCCTTCCCCTCTCACCTCTGGACAGAAGCCGCCCCTTTGGTCTCTTATATCTACTTGTCTAAGAAGCACATTCTTCACAAGTATCACTTTATGTCCCACAGTCCAGTCCAATCCCTGTTTGAACAGTTGGCCTCAGAAATTGTTTTAGTTCTGGAGTGATGGAGAGACCAGGAGCCATGCTTTCCGGGGCATCTCCAGTCTTAGTCAGACCATTAAGTCTGTCTTCTTACTAGAATTTGAGTTCTGCATCCCATCGTTCTACTGCTCCATCAGGGACCCTCTGTTGTGTTCCCTGTCAGGACATTCATTGGTGGTAGCCAGGCACCATCTAGTTCTTCTGGTCTTGGGCTGATGAAGTCTCTGGTTTATGTGGCCCATTCTGTCTCTTGGGCCAATACTTTCCTTGTGTCTTTGGTGTTCTTCGTTCTCCTTTACTCCAAGTGGTTGGGACCTGGGCCTTAGTGTTTTTAAAATCATCAATCTACTCCATCTTTCCTAGCTTCAAGAAGAAATTCTCAAACCAGTGCAGTCTATCAACTATGTTCTATTGTATTGGTTATAGTGACACAGCATGGCTGGTGTTAAATACTGGCAATCAAAGAAAAATACTGGCTGAAAAATTCTTTCCATTTTACCATTATCTCCATCTTCATATTTTTTTTTTCTTTTTTCTCTCTCCTTACCTTCCCTGAAAAAATGAACACAGTTGGAAGCTACCTCTACTTGGGATAGGTAAGTGGAGCTTTTTTTGAAAGGCTGACATGATGGAGGCGCTAAGCAAGACATTTCATGCAACTCTCAGCAAATCGGGGAACTTAGAAAAATTCCTTAAGCCTCATAAAGATTAATGCTGTATTATGTTCTGTGAACCTGGGGCAGAATTGGAGCTAAATTTGCAGGCAGCTTCTGCAGATTTATGTCTACCCCTGAGTTGAATGACATACACAGTATTTTAGAAGTGAATTCTATGTGAAGTCTATCGCAAAGCATATGAAATCCCTTCACAATGTGCTACAAGACAGTTAAATCTCCCTTAGGCACTGGGAAACCCCTTTAATTATTTCTCAGCTATAGCCCATGGTCCTAGAATTAAAGGCTGAACTCCTTAGTGAATTTCAAGCTGAACTTTGAATTTGTTCACTCATTGGTTGGTATGGTGTTTCTGATTTCCTTTGCCTCACTTTCTTAGATGACCCCAAACCCAAGAACCAAAAAATGAAAATGTCACTGGGAAGAAAATTTGCATTGTTTTTCTTCTGTTTTTGTATTATGAGCTGTGTTCCAACTATATAACCTCTAAACTTAAGAAATTTACATATCCATAGAAGTTCATATTCTGAGCTCTTAATATAAAGTCCAAGGATCATGCATGTGATCTAAACAAATTCAAAATTCAAAATTACTCACCCAACATATGTATTCCTGTCAGAGCGCATTGATTTATTGGATGCAGGTAAAATCGAAGCCATACCTTCTATTAAAAGCGGATAGTCACTCTTAAATTGATAGAAGGAAAGAAAAATATTATGATGTGCTGTTAAATCATAGGCCTAATCATAATAGCTCAGCTCCAAGTTAGAATGATATCCTCCTTTAAAACTTATGTTTTCTTCAGAAATTACTAATGGAATTTTCCCTTATCATTCTAAACTCCCTTATCAACTCAAAAATATCCTCCCTTCTCCACAGACATGACCTTTTATACTACAGTCCAGCTCTCAGAGCCGCTCTTCCCCAGAAGATAAGCTCCCTTAGAAGGTGTGGCATCCTATCTCTTTGGCCAGGTTGGTTAGCATGTTAACTGTTGACCAGAACACCTTTCCCTCACATCTGGCCTTTGTCCCAGCATGTGTCTGGTGTAGCACACAGGCTTATTTGCTTTGAAGCAGCTGTGTATGGATGCAAGCCCTCTGTTGGTTTCTACAACAACTCTACCCGGTTGTCTAAAAAATGTGTCCAGTACACATGAGAATTTTCAGTTCCCAAACATTTCATTCCCCACCCCCATCCTACCCTCTGCCAACTTATTTTCATTTCTTTGTGATCACAAGTAAGAAACACATCCAAAGTCAGGACCTCAGAACACCCCTTCATCTGAACTTTGCCCATCCAAGTTCACACAGAAGGTCTAAAAATTAAACCGTACTTGTTTCCTGGAGCTTCTTCATTTAGCTAAACCTTAAAGCTGCCTGTAAAATCCACTGAATCAGCTTTCTGGGGGTCAACCCAGGTAGAATGTAAAATGCAGCCTAATATTTTCAGAAAACACAATGTCTCTGTTAAGAAATCCATGAATTCAAACAGAACAACCAGAATGGAAATAATGAGAATGTTCACACATTGTGAAGAATGTAACCAATGTCACTGAACAATTTGAGTAGAAATTGTTGAATGAGAACCTAAATTGCTGTGTAAATTTTCACAGAAAATGCAATAAAGTATTATTTCAAAAAAAAAAGAAAAAGAAACCCTTGAGTTCACTGCTTTTGCTGCTTTCATCACATTGAACTTTTGGGAGGGAAAATCCAGGAGACTTTGGTAGAATTTCATCTTGTTTCTGTTTTGCCTCAGCTCCCATGGAAGACAACTGAAGTTCTACACTGGTGAGAGCTTTAGGGACATTACTCTCCTGGCTTCCATGCCATCATACCCTAAGATGTTCATAAATGTCCAAACAACTGCAGATACAAGGCATTTCATAGTGTACATAGATTCCCCCTCAAGAGTGTGCAGAATAGTCAAGGATCAAAAGTTCATATATTTCTTGGGGTCTTTGTTAGAAGGTGTTCTTGTTCCTGGTGATAGTCAGTCTTCACAGTCTCCTTAAATTCCATGCTGGCCCTTATCAGTCCATCTTGGCCAACCACCAAAGTCTAAAGGCTGGGAAGAAAAGAGAATAGAGAACTCTATGTTGAGGAATCCGTGTAATAGCCTAAAGCTTGTTACTGCCACCACCAAATAGATGTTTGTAACTCTGCCTGAGATTTCCACAAATCCACAGGGAACTTTGTCTTGGAGAAGGTAATGACAGCTATGAAGCAAAACAATCCCGAACATGAGTGTCACCTTTGTAGCTTGAGACAGTAGTTCCTGTTTGGAGTTATAATAATACCTATGTCTTTTATCTCAAGACTCACCTCAAGTTGGTCTAGCTCCTATTCTTTCCCGGCAACCGCTGACCATATTAATCCACTTTCTACCTCTGAGATCTTCACACTTTGATTTGGTATTCGGTGTAGTCTCTCTCGATTTATTTTTAGGACATAATATGGAGGACCACCGAATTCCAATCTGGCATTTGCCTTTGGTTCTGACAGGTGGAAGTGTTAGCTAATTAGATAAGTGTTAGGTAATTAATTACTCCAGTGAATTAATTAGACAAATTAACATCTCTGCTTCCAGTGCAGAGTTTGGCAGCCAATGATCTCAATCACTAACGGTGCACCTAACACCAGCTAAGATTTGTGGACCCTATGTAACAACTTCCCCAGACATTAAGGCAAATGGTCATCATTTGGGGAAACTGCAGAATCATCTAGTAAAACCTATGAAATTGAGTACTAATAAGCATCTTCTGGGCAGTCTTAAATTATTCTCCCAGTTTAGATCCTACTCTTAGAGTAGGTTGTTTCTCGATAATATTTATTTGATCGACTGTATTGCAAACGGCCAGTCGCCTGAATGGTCACGGAAAAGGTTTTGTTTATTAGAAACAAACTCCAGCCCAGTCCTTGGGCATTTTGCGAATGAAGGCTATGTGCCAGGCAGAGCCTGTGACTCAGCACAGCTGTGTGATCAATCCGTGGGGCCCTCAGTCAGCCCCGCCAAGTCCCTGTTCCACAGTGTCTGCCCTGAGGCAAACACTTCTCTTCTCAGCGTCTCCCTCCACAGTGACAGCATTTTAATTTTCTCACTCCCACAGCAACTTTCTATCTGGCTTAATTTTGCCACCAACCCTGTAGAGCTGAAGAAGGCAAATCAGAGCCCTGGAGTCTAACTGGCTGGTATCTCGAAGTCTCCCCAGTTGGCACGTTTTCTGCTGAATTGGTGAGACTTACCCATGCAGACTTGGTACCAGAACCACCCCCTAAGCACACACTGTGCTCCTGTCACTCTGGGGAGGGGCGTAGCTAGGAATCTGGGGCTCCCAGAACCTTGCTGGAAGGACCTGGGCATCTTTCCATGTGCCAGCCACTGTGCTAAATCCTGAGGACACGAGGAACAGAACTTACACTCTTGTGGAGAAGAGAGAGGAGTGGTAAAGAATATGGCAGGTGCTATGAAAGCTCAGAGGAGAGGCACTGGGCCTAGGCTGAGGACACCGGAGGCTGCCAGGTTGAGTCTTGAGAAAGGGAGTGGCCCAAAAAAACATTGCTAAGGGTGGGGGCGAGAGGAGTATGAGAAGCTGTGCTCCTGGCCCAGGGAAGAGTATGTAAAATGCAGAGATAAAATGGCACATTTAGGGAACTGTTAGTAGCCCTATGTGGTTTTTATTGCCAAGTCTTTGCACCAGAGCATCCGAGAGGGGGGCCTTGTTGGCTTTCAGTTTTGAAATGTCTGGTATTTTGAAAAAAAAAAGAACAAAGGCCAAAACAGTGTTACACTCACTGTAATATACTTTAAATGTTTACATTTAATGAATTCACATCTTAACCCTTTTAATAAATAATGTAGTCTAATTATGTTATTCACAAGACCATTGTAGGGCTTATGTATATTAAAAAAATCTCTTAATTCACCATGTACTTTAATTTTAATGGAATACAGGTTTAAAGCTGTCCTTTTTTCAGTCTGGTTGGTATATCTTATAAATTTATGCATCATCTTATTTAGGGCTAACATACAAAGTCTAATTTTTGACCAAATGGTCCCTTTGGGTGTACAGTAATAGGTTTGAGGCCATACCTTAATGCTCTTTTACTTCCTCCCAGATCAACACCTTCCTCCCTGGGCCCAGATTCTCTACTGTCTACTTGATTCACCTCTCCACGAAGTACTCACCAAATGGTACACCCCAGAACCAACATCCTGGCCTGTGGGAGGTAGAAATGGCAATGCACAGCAAGGCTCCCACTCCTTTCTCTTTTTCCTCCTCCTTTGGCAGGTCTCTCAGGGTAGGAGTGGAGTAACAAAGGGTCCCTCCCTCCTGCCACACCAGGTTCTCACCAGCACCACCCCTAGGCACACAGTGCTGGCAATGGCTTGAAAGAACACCAAAAATTGTTATCCATTCTGAAGCTAAGCAGTTTATTTATTTATTTTTCATTTATTCATTCAACAAATATTTACTGAGCACTCACTATGCTCCAGGAAGTCTGGGAAGTGCTGGAGATACAGATATGAATGATAATTCTCGCTTCTCTGCTTTCCTCCATGAAAATTTTGACAGTCCATGAAAAGAGAAGACATAATTTACAACACTTCTCATACTAGCCTTTCATATGTTAAAACATACATATTAAGTTTATCTTCAGCATTCTCTTCCTCATGTCAAATAACTAAACTTATTGAGTCCTTTGATATTTCCTTAGGTGTTTATTTTCTAATACATAGACTTGAAACCGCCTCAAATCCTTTGGGAAAGAGGGGAGGTATTAAAAAATTCACAGTTGTTTCCTTTATTGCGTAGAGGTGCTGCAGTTTAACATTAGTAAGCTTACGTGCAAAGAAAATCCACCTTATTTTCTATTACCATCCAAACTTTCTCAATAGCTCCACCTTACTGGTAGTTGGGGCAGAACTTGGTGAATTTAAACCTTTCAATTAACAGTATCTCCATGTCTTTGGTTTCAATTGCCTCCATTAGATGACTTATTCTCCTTCAGATATGTGCTCAGTCTATGCGATTTCCTCCTTCTGCCCAGTGCTCCTATCTGAGATGACTCCTACTAAACAGGGTGGGTGGGGAGGGGTTCACTTGATTTCTTGGCAATGAGGACAAGGAGGGCTTCTGGATCCATGTGCTCAGCATCTTGTACTGTCCTTTGGCTCCACTGTAAGGTGGCAGGTCAAGCTCGGTCCACTGTGTCCTTGTGAGGGATCTGTGGCTAGTTGGGTGTGGTCTATGAGTCCCTGAATGGGGCTACCAAAATGCAGCTTGCCCCTCGAGCCCAAATGGAGCATTGTGCTGGCGCACCTGTGTCTGAAATCTATGGCGCCTACTCTTTGCCTCCTGGCTTAAAGCTTCTCTCCCTTGTGGGCTCTCTGTTCAGTCCCTAGGCCCCTGCCAGGCCACTGGCCATCTGGGAACCTCTGCTTCCTTTACCAGAGCACTCATCCAGGCCCCTGCACGTCAGACTCAAGCTATGGGAGCTAGTGGTGCTATCTCTGGCTCTCTCCAAATTCTTCTCTCCACCATTGCTGCACTAACCCCCATTCTGGGTTGGATATGAGCCTGAGCTCTGTATGGAGCTTCTCCTAGAGACTTGCTGCCTCTCACAGCTACATCAAAGGATGTAGGTCCCTGGCT